TCTTTAACGCGATGCATGCAAAATAAGCATATGTCTATGTTGGCTAATATGATAGGTGGGTATTATATTTTTCATATATGCCTACAATTTGGACTTGACAATTTTATAGTTGTATTTTGTGGCTTATATTAATCCACAGTTCGTTCTAGAATCTCTTTTTTTAGAAATTTTAATAAAGAATATTGTGAATTCTATGCCGAATTCCGCTGGGCTGACACAAATCTAATTACTCCTTAAAAAGGCTTCCAGTGCACTCTGTTCACGCCAGATTTAATGAAGAAATGTTGGCTGATTTGGTGACTGGATCAGAGGGACAGGTCCGTATGCAGCTCGTAAAAGTAATGGGTAAAATAAATTTCACTGCCTCATTTCATTCGTGATCTTAAAATCTGTGTTCTATACAGCGTTCTTTCACGCAGGCCAAAATAAAATCAATATTATTTTGCGGTAGCGGATGCACTCTATTGAGTAGTCTTGGTACTATGAGCGTTAGTAGTCGAGGAGAGAGGGGTTCATACTCGCTGAGCCATCTCTCGGGGCAATAAAGAAGTTCAGCCGGTTTTGGTAGCTCTATCAATAAAGTGAATTAGCATTACGATCTACTTTACTCCCAGTTTACGAAATTTGACATTTTAGACTCCCAGATTCCTGTGGCCGTGTAATCAGTGCAAGTTTTGCCTAGAATTACGATGTTTAATCTTGAAACGGTATTTAATGTATGATCTTGAGCTTTCATGGCGACTGTGTACAATAAAATCCTTTCGGGCTATCAGCCGCATCAACTGGTTAAAACATGAGGAGAACAACGTTTCGAGGTCCACATCTGTCCTCATCCTCAGGGTAATGAACTGTTTGGGGCTCTCAGCAGGTATATATATGACACGGTTGAGAGCCCCAACCACTTCATTACCCTGAGGATGAGGACAGATGTGGACCTCGAAACGTTGTTCTCCTCATGTTTTAACCAGTTGATGCGGCTGATAGCCCGAAAGGATTTTATTGTACACAGTCGCCATGAAAGCTCAAGATCATACATTAAATACCGTTTCAAGATTAAACATCGTAATTCTAGGCAAAACTTGCACTGATTACACGGCCACAGGAATCTGGGAGTCTAAAATGTCAAATTTCGTAAACTGGGAGTAAAGTAGATCGTAATGCTAATTCACTTTATTGATAGAGCTACCAAAACCGGCTGAACTTCTTTATTGCCCCGAGAGATGGCTCAGCGAGTATGAACCCCTCTCTCCTCGACTACTAACGCTCATAGTACCAAGACTACTCCATAGAGTGCATCCGCTACCGCAAATAATATTGATTTTATTTTGGCCTGCGTGAAAGAACGCTGTATAGAACACAGATTTTAAGATCACGAATGAAATGAGGCAGTGAAATTTATTTTACCCATTACTTTTACGAGCTGCATACGGACCTGTCCCTCTGATCCAGTCACCAAATCAGCCAACATTTCTTCATTAAATCTGGCGTGAACAGAGTGCACTGGAAGCCTTTTTAAGGAGTAATTAGATTTGTGTCAGCCCAGCGGAATTCGGCATAGAATTCACAATATTCTTTATTAAAATTTCTAAAAAAAGAGATTCTAGAACGAACTGTGGATTAATATAAGCCACAAAATACAACTATAAAATTGTCAAGTCCAAATTGTAGGCATATATGAAAAATATAATACCCACCTATCATATTAGCCAACATAGACATATGCTTATTTTGCATGGATCGCGTTAAAGAGCAAATGAGTGTAAGAACAGTCATTTGTTTTTTATCTTTGACTACGCTTAGTCCAGCTGAGGTCGTTGCAAATATTCCGTCAAAGTCAGAGGCCACGCCCAACATTTCGGAACAATTTCTTATTCTCACGGCCTGGAATTGTTAGCCCCGCGTCGACCCAAAGGTCGGAGAATCACCCCTTGTCGGCTGTCCGCAAATGCTTATTCGAAAACTCCGTATCTGGCGGCCATAATCTATCATGATCCTGGTTTTGTGTGGACTACGGGGCGAAGTTATCCAAGCGATTTTCAGTTCGAATCTCGTACATCGACACAATCCCCACCTTGTCGAAGGCAAATTCCTCAGCAGTTCCTAAAATCCATTTACACATTAAACCTGTCCCATTCACAATTCATAACAAACTTAGCATCCGCCATTTAAAGCC